TAGGGAAGCGGATCGAGAAACTGGAACGACAACCGGCACGTTCGAGCCCCAGAGGCTGATTGCAGGTCTCGTTCTTTTGCCCGCCCCAGTGGAGTCTCTCAGTGGATTAGGAGGAGAGAGAGGGAAAAAGGTAGGAGAAAGAGTGGGAGTCCATAGGTACGGGCACCACTCACGCAGACGTACGCCAGGTCAGGGCAGGATATGGACCGGGGAGGGGGGCGTGAAGACGAGGAGGTAGGTACCAGTCTCCGTATTGTACGCTAGAGGCGCAGACGTACTGGAAAGATGGAAGATGAGGGGGGGTCCAAGTCAATGAGGAGGGGGTCAGAATGCAGAAAGGCAGAGCGAGGAGGGAGAAGAGAGGACTCTGAGAGTGAGGGGCGTGGGAGACGACGCTCCGGGGTGTGTGGCAGACACAGTTTTTTTTTTGCCTTTGCGTCTGGTTATTCGGGAAAGGCCTCGATGGTGCAAGCAAGGGTGATGGTGGGCAAGGAGTCCAAGGGGTGGCAGGGGCAGTCCTCGTCTGTGTGGAGAAGTAGCGAGGACTGGACCCGGGCTTGAAGGCAAGCAGTCACTGTTAAGACTCGGAGATGGAGAGAGAGCGGATAACAAGTAAAGTGATGGTTGATCGAGAGAGGTGAATGAAGGCTTCACCAGGTGGTATTGGACCTCACTCTGCTAAACCATATGAACAGACAGGAATACATACACCGAGAAACTGGGGAAAGTGACAAAGAGATGGGCAGCAGGAACCTGAGGAGAAACATCTGGAGACTTGCGAGATGCTCTGGGGCCCGGGGATGAACAATGTGGATGGGACTGCGACGTGGACGTGGACTGGGGAGGAGGGATCAGGGCACTACCATTAGCAGCAAGAAAGCAACAAGCAAAACAGGTGAATGTGCGGTGCAGTTGCGATGCGAAAAGAGGTACTTTGCCATAGTCCGGCACGCCACCGAGTACTTCACGTACAAGGTAGTTCCTTACAAATAGATGGACCTAGCGATACGTACTCTTGTATCCCGTCAAGTGCCTACCTACTGTGGTCTATCTCGGAATACCGGTATGTAGGAGCAAGTGGGACAACGACTCTCTCTCTCAGTCTTATAGCCACTTAGCAAGGACGAGATACATGGAAGTGGATGGGCAGCAGTAAATGGACGTACGCACGCAGGCTTTACGTCAGGTAGGCAGAGTTGCCGGAACGATGGATGCAAGTACAGAGTGAAGATACCGGTATATATTGGGGCCGTAGAGGAGGCAGGTATGTATAATACCGAGGAAATTCAGGGCAATGGAAAGTACAGAAGCTGTGCGAGAAAGAGAGAGAGAGAGAGGGAGACAGCAAGAGAGAGGTAGAGAGGCGCAGGTGTACAGTAACAAAGTAGGGGCGCAACGCAGCGCAACGCTATGCTGCGCTGCGCAAGCGTTTATCAGACCCCTGCAAGCCAATGCACACACCAGAGATGCAAGTGTGGCAGCTTGCAGCCAGACCGACAACTGGGGTGAAAGTGGGAGGGTATCGGGGTAGAGAGATCCAAGGTGCAGGAGACAGCGAGCAATAAACACACCGGTACCTACCTCAATGTCTATTCGTCAGGGCTTGTCCAGCAATGCGATGATGCTGCTGATGGTGATACTGGTGGTGATGATGATGATAATGAAGGGAGGGGAAACTTGGCTACGGAAAGGGGCCGTGAGGGGGATGCATAATGTCTAAATATCTGTGTCTCTTGGATCAAAACTTCTACATCCGAATTCAGGCATGTATAACTGAATGAGAACAAGACACAAAACGGCGAGGCGGCGAATGCGGCGTCCAGCGAGTGCTCGACTGATTGGCTAACAGGACCCGGAAAAGGTCATCGAAGCAGAGATGGAATCCGCAAGGAGCCAACTAGGCGATGTGAGTAGGTGCGGAGGCGGGAAGATGGGGGGCTTCCTCATTACAGATACACAGGATGTTCAAGGGCTCACTCCAAAGGCGGAATAGAGAGACATAGGCCTCAAGTTGGATTCACCCTCCCCGGGACACAAGGGATAGACAGAGCTCAAAGCCTCAAGCACGGACTGATAGCGAGCAGCGATTGAGCACCCCCTCCACGCCGTCTGTAGCGGCGACCGGGATAATAAACAAGAGACATGGAGGATGATCCGGGGCAAAGCAGGATAAAGCCATTCGAGGGATATGGACCAACGTCACTCAGGTAGTAAACCATGGTCCAGAGACGACGATGGTCTCAGCAGGGACAAAAGCCCTCGCAAGAACGAATCCATCCCGGCCACGGATGCGCGGGTACGACAACCAGGTAAATCGAAGACCTACGCAATAAATGAATGCATGCCAGTGTCTAGTGAACGAGGCCACCGGAACGGACTTGAGAATGAGCGTGGACTGTCCGTTACCGCAAGGAGGTGAGAGACTGTGTGGTGGACACTTGTCCAACACTGTAGCCAGACAGATGAGCATACGAAATACGTCCGGCAGGTAAGGCGGTCGTGGCGGTCCTGGGGAAGTAGAGGTTGTATTAATCCCGGAATGTCACGATACATTGGATGAAGAGAAAGCGAGACAGGCTCGTCGCGGATGTTGTGCCAATGAGAGCATGACTATGTTGGCGCATTCGCATCCGACAGTGCCAGCATAAAACATTACTGGCGCAAGTGACGAGACGACACATACCTACCCAGCCAAGGGTACTAAATGGGGTACCCAAGAATCCATGGGTGAAGGAATGACGGTCAGAGGAGTGATATACCCAGTGATCTTCAGGTTTCTGGGTCTCTGATAGTCTCTGATCTTTAGCCATATCCAGGTCATGAACGCCCGTCTCACTTTCGTACTCCTAGCACAAAGACGTCAACGTGGGGACGTTTGTCGTTTTGTCGAACCATGTTGGATACATCGACTTTTGTGTGTGCATAACACAAATTCGTTTTCTCGAGGGAACAAACGCAATTGCAAATGCCAATAGCTGTCTGCATGGCCCCAGACGGTTGACCGATGGCAGCGGTTTGCAGGTTACAACGGCGGATACCAGCGTGTATCTCTGCAGTAAGGAGTACAGAGGCATTTGATTCGAATTTCTCTTGGCTGGAATGCACTAGGTCTTGACGAGGCCTGAGCACAGTGAGACCTCGTGATGAAGCCAAAAACCGCTACAGTGACGATGGCGCAAGTGGGATAATGGCAATGGCAATATCCAGTGACCTGGGCCAAGTTGTGATCCTCGGATGGTCGGACGCCTCAATGTCTGAGGGTTCGAGCAGGGCCAGCTCCCCAGCCCCAAGCCCCGAACCAGTCCGAGTCTGGCCCAGGGCTGGCCCAGGGCTGGCTAGGCAAGCCTCAAGCGAGGGAAGCAATGGGCCTTCTTGGCTGCCTTTCGGCAGGCTCGAAATTGACAAGGCGACTGTGGTCCCAAACGACAAGGGGGGACCTTCGGCTGGACCCTAGGCGTGAGGGCGAATGGAGTCGAAAATTATTTTCGCAAAGAATTTTCCCCCATCTGTCGCGCTCTCGCCCCGGTCAGATCCCACGTTGCTGCACCCACTGACGGCGTGATTCCCGCCCTCACCCTCGAAACCTCTCCGAAGGGCGGGGCCAAGATGGTTGGTGTCCTTATGTCTCGCCCGTATGATTCTCATTTTCCGTACAAGTCCGCGTAACAATCTTCAGGGTCCGTGCCGATCCCGGGAGAATCAAGTCGCCGCCGTCGTTACCGGGAGGGATGGCCGCTCAGACCGAAAGACCATCTGGCCCAAGATGGGGATTCCAAGACAGGCCTGGAATGGATGCTCTGGCGACAACAGGCGAGTAGGAAAAGGAACGACCGAAGAGGCCGAGAGGTGATATCAAAGGTGACAAATATGGTGCGAGGAAACTCCAAGGGTTTTATGATGCGCTAGTATTAGACATAGGGCGCGTTTGCAGGAATACTTCTTTTCCTCCCTTTCGCTCTTGAAGTTTGGCCCCAGGATTATGGATGCAGTTGGTAAAGCTCGGATACCTATGCAAGTCGGGGGTTTTCTCGTGCTGATCCCGCCTGGAGGTTCCAGTCAGCGGCAGAGATGTTGGATACGAATGACATTAGCTGGCATCGATCGTGGATCATTGCCCCAGGCAAGTAGAGCAAGACAGAGTGCCTATGCTCGGCATGCAGCGTTTTCGAAGGCATGGTGTTGGATTAGAATTGAATTAGAATAGAAGATGCAACTCTGCCCTGATGTCGAGTAAGGAGCAGGCGAAGATCCAAATCCAGAGCCTCCTTCCTGCGCTGTGTGTCTTTCGGACAGGCCGTCCAAGGTAGGAGGGGTACGTACAGGGTCTTAGTAAGGCGAGGGCAAGCTGAACGTACAGGATCACGTGGGGGCGTGTATCGGAACCAGAAAAACCAAACTGTCCCGCAATTTCGCCGGATGATGGAGGCCCTGGCCGTGGCTGGCCACAGATGGAGACTTGCGCATGACCGGAACCTTTCCCCGGGCTGACGGTCTGGTCACTCGGCTCTGTAATTTAGCGTGCCATGGACTTGGACATTGCGGGGCAAGCTGTACCTCGCTAACAATTACGCGCAGGGCCCCTTTCTTTCTTTCCCAGGGAGATGGCAACAGCCAACATTGAACAGGGCCAGCGGCGACGCACATTGACAATGTCGTCAACTCGCGTGGGCAAGACCCCATCGACGCCACAGGTCGTACCTGGCTTTCGGGGGACTTGCAACTGCTAATACAAAGTACTCTGCAGCCAAGAAGGAAGGCATCATGTCAAGGTAGGCAATCGCTCAGTGCTCGAAAACAACCACACACCTTCAAGTTTCCATCTTCACCGTCCATCCATCCGCTTCGGAACAACCGCCGAGTAGCTGCATCACCTCGAGTCTCGTTGCATAAGGTAGTCAGGCGACTACACTCGGTGGTACATCACAGCCGAATGTCCGCAGGTTCAATGCGTCTCTCCTCTGGGCTCCATACGTTCCCCCACGGAGACCCCATCAATAGGCTCCACGGTTTCTGGGGCCTCGAAAGTTTGGCTGTCTCGCTTCGTTTCTTCTCCTAACCTTACGCCATCAGCATCTCCCAGCTCACAAGAACGCAATGCACCTCTGCTGTATTCTTACGCATTGTCGGGTCCGGCCCTTCAGGCATGCCAGGGCGTTTACTTAGCATCTTCTGCTCACTGGAGCCGCCCTGCTTATCTTTCCCTTGTCACGGCTCAGCTGGTCGTGGCCTTTCGATCTGACACCACCACAGCATGGAAGGAAAGACAACACCCACACAGCCAGTATGGTGATATCATATGGTCCTCAGTGTTGGGTTGTGGCATCATTGCTTTCAGAATCGGCGACCAAGTGAATGCTCCTCGCCATAAACCACAGTCATCTCGATGCTCTATCTCGATTCCTCGGTCCTACTGTATGCACTACGCCTTGTGCACTATGAGCACGCCCGGTCCTAGCTTCGAGCCCTGCAGTGAGGGGAGCGTACGGAACTGCGTTTTGGCATGCTCTTTTGCCGCGATGGCAGGCCACCAGGCGAGGAAGCATGGCCTTCCTAGCCATTGACGTGTAGTCGTGCGTCAGCTATCCCTCCAAGCTCACTGATCGCCAGCTCCAGCTTCATCGGGCCCTGACCGCCAATGTGAATTCGTTGGCTGCCAATATCAGGCGTTCGCCATGTACGATGGTAACAGGTAGCGCCAACTTCAGGCTTCCCCTCGCCGACCGTCAACATCGGTCGACATTTTGTTGGGGACTCAGCGGCTGGTCCACCCCCTGGTGGCTGGCTATTCAAACTTCAGGGTCCATGTCTCCAACCAAACAAAGTTACTAACAACTGGGGAACATCTGAAAAGGCAACAAAAGCAAGCATAGCAGCGACCTCTGCACATATCAGACAAACTCTGTCGACCTACGACTTGGAAGCTTGGTTAATGTAACCCGGATTTCCCCCCAGTTCCCAGTACGTCAGATCCGCCGGCCACTATGCTGATAGTAGTCGCTTCGACCTAGATCGTTATCACAGGCGGAACGCTCCATGGTTACGCCAAAGTCTTTACCCCGCCTGGCCTGGCGTTAACTTTCGTCACAAGAATGGCGAGACTGAGATCCAGCCTCTGTGGATTTCGTTCCTTTTGTGGAGGGACCTTACGCAAGAGGGAACTGCAACTAGACGTTAGCTGCGCAACATCCAACGCACCACTGCACTCTGCTTTTCCTTCCGGCCGCTAGGGAGCGTAGTGATTGCTAGGCAATCCCCTTGGCGCGAACTGGTTTACCTCGCTCACCTTCAACAAGCCCAATCATTGGCCATGAAATTGCATTCTTTTCGCTCTTTTCTTACGCATACCTCGCCCCTCCCGCGGCCGTTGTGGAGCTGAAGTAGGTAGTACGGAATACGGACAGCGGCCAGAGGCAAAGAGCGAGGGCCATGCGGCAAGATTGACCCTTGGAAAGTCGCGACTCTATACACAGTACCTACTAGGACTACAAGGCGTGGGTTTAACGTTGCCTAAGCTACGTGCAATTGGCTTGCTCCAACCACGGTTCCTAAGGTCCTATGAAATGATATCGACCTGGACGCATCATAGTAAGAGACTCTCGGTTCAGCGAGTTGGTGCTTTGTGCTGCTGCGGACGACAACACACGCCCTACCTTGGCTTCCCCAGTTTTCAACAAAGTCTACAATCATGTAGGCAGCGAGCCTATCTGTGTCTCTGGCTGTGTCTAGTGGCACTCCAGGATTTGGGCACACGCAAACACATGGATGAACACTCTGGGGTATACGCAAAGTCAACTTGGTCAGTGCCACCAACAGCCATTCCCATTGAGCCTGGGAAAGGCATGTCATGCACGGAAGGTGTAAGTTGTGAGCACCACGGAGCACGGCGCGAGGAGGAGACCAGACTGAAGCCAAAAGCAGGGTCATTGCAGACAATGCACTAGCTGCTAACCAATAGGGGACGGTATTTCATTGGATTGCAACTCCAACAAGACCTGAATCACGCCGAGTTAGGCTGAGGTTAGAGTCAGAAGAGATGTCTCATGAAACGTAGGCTATTCTTGTCGTAGCATCTCGCGTGTCACTGTTACGGCCACGGAACCTGCTGGCGAGAACGAATTGACGCATCCAGAGTCTGAAAGAAATAGTGGGCGAATGGGAAAGACGCCATTTCGACGCGGTTGAAAGCAATGGCCCCTGACTATCTCTCAGTGGATGGATCGGACTCCACAGGGAAGAGATGGGGAGAGTTGAGCCGGCTTGGCTTGGCTTTGAAGATCCCCCGCGGACAGCAAATCACACACCAAGAATCCATGCCTCGTTCACCCTCGAGGGTCTTGACAACTACGAACTGACGGGCTCGGTTTACAGATATTAGATATTTTACCAGTCGCACAGTAGTAGTGCTATAGGATGCCAAAGCTGATAGCTGGAGGAGACTATCCGCGGCTCTTCGGCATCAACCAGGCACGCCAGTCCATTCGTCGGGTTGAACGGGCTTCTCAATTTCCAGTATCCTTAGGCCTTTCCCCAGCTAATCACTCTCCTTCGACGCGTCCGTTTGTAGCCATGCAGCTCAGTATCGCTCTCATGAAAGTGGTCGTTGCAGTTCCTGGAGCGCCAACCGGTGGAGCTTCGCCTTGGATTTCCTTGGATTTGCTTCTCTCGCCCCGTCATTCTCTTTCTCTCAGTGTCTCGCAGGATAGGATAGGCTGCCTTCCAACAATATGCTGCACACTGAAGATACCGATGGGAGGCCTGTATGGAGCAGCAACTGTTTGGCGCCTGTTTCTCGCTGGACGAACTACTCATTACCGCCCTGAACAGCGGGCGGGGCTCCTTCAAACTCGGTCGGAAAACACGGTAGCCCTTCAGAGCAGGGACGGTGCCAGCTACAGTAGTCTACTAAGACGCTCTGGCAGATCGGTCTAGACCACGAGTCGCTCAGACAGAAGAGACCCTGGCTGTCTGTTCCCTCGTTTCTCCGAATGCCTATCCATTCATTTCCTATGATGCGATGAAATGCGCGGGCTGGAGAGCGACTACGTTGAACTTGCCATGCTGTGAATCTGGGCATACATGTCTTGACAGCCAGTGCATCATCTGCCACAGGTATGGCGAATCTTATGTGAGTAACACTAATACGCAAGTTGCCAATACGTTGATGATTACAGTTTGACTTCTTCCCCTTGTCCTCGGTCTGTCTACGCACACACCCGACCCGGCATCGTCCGACACTTGTCTTCCTCATCCTCCCCATCTGCCAGCTTCTCCGGTTTCTTCCTCCACCATCTGAAGCAACCCCACACTCCGCACTAGAAGCATTGCCCGTCGGCCAAACACGAACCTTTGGAGCAGAGGCCATTCGATGGCGGTTGCTTGTCGTGCGCATCAAACCCACGAGGCTTTCCTCTCTTTCTCTCCGCAAACTTACAGAAGAAGCAATACCGGCTGCAGATTCGCACAGCTTACTACTCTGTTTGGCCTGTTTTGCCAGGTCGTTGTCCTGCCTTGGCCTGGCTTGCCATGCTATACCTTGCTAGACACTCTCTTCTCCGTGCCTCGCCGGCTACGGCTTGAGTCGTCCAATCGAAGGCGCATGTTTCAAACCGTGCCTCATTCAAGGCCTTGCCCAGGCGCTCGAAAGAATGCAGCGCTGCAGGTCGACGCGACGGAGGACAGAGTTCACAACATCCTGACTACACAGAGCTGTATATTCCGCTGTGACACATGACGCTTCTTCTCTTTACTGAGAACCGGCCTGTAGGCATCCTAACAACGTGTACCTTGAATGCATATGCAGATTTGCGGACAGCCTCTGTTCAAAATCTTAGAACGGAGTAAACCATTCTACGATGCATGACCGGGACAATGGGATAGTCAGCTATTCAACCAGTCATTTTGCGTCCTCATCGCAAAGCTATTTTGTCTCGGGCATTCAAAGCGACGCCGATATCTTGTACCGTCACCTCATCAGCCCCGCCCAGCCAGTGGCAGCGCCAGGTAATCGAAGCTATGCGACCTTGCAGCTGGATGCAAGCCACACTAGCTCATATTCACATACTAAAGACGCAATGGCGGGATGCTACCAGGAGACTCGAAGGCGAACCTAGCAACGGAGAAAACCATCCGCCACCATTTTCCTTATCAACCGGCTGATATGCATAGTTGCTGTTTAATAAGAGTCAGGTTGCCAACCTCGTCCCGGCTGGGAAAGTATGGCAACAGTGGGGTGTGTGGGTGCCAGAGACGAGATAAGGACGACAACAAAGGGCTGCAAGATGTCAGAACCAGGAAGTACCTAAGTGCCGTTCGCAATCTTTTCTATGCTGTCCCATGTTGTTAGCCATCTCGAACAGTCAACGGTCCATGCCGTACGACTGCCAGCCACCTCTCGCACAGAAGACGTCTCAGCAGTGCCCGTCTGCTAGGACCCCAATCCAGTAAACGACTTTCAACTTTCTCGTTGGGACGGAAACACAACTCTCCCCCATCGCTCAAGTAGCACTGATCACGTCGTCAGCAACGAGGAAAAGCAGCTACTGTACTTGAGAAACCTGAGCGTGTTCAGCATTCCTCTCTTGTACGATCCGGGGCGACAGGGCCCGCGCCGACCCTCCAAGCCGCACTGCCCAAGGTCCGGGCGCGGCCGTCGTGCGGTGGACACAGTGAATAGACCCGGATTCTACCGCTAAGCCGCACTGGCGAGAGAGTTCGCTTCGTCGAAACTTTCTTCAGGGTGTAGGGCACATGAGAGTTAGGACCCTGATCGGCGCAAGTGCAGTAACTCGGTCGAGTGTCTACCGTATAATGCCTCACCACGGCTCAGTGGGTTTGAATTACCCAAGAGTCCAAACTTCATCCGAGTCGAGGCATTGATACTGGGAGTTTTGACAAGGTGCTTACTTGACCGCGACGGAACAGCTCCGCGTGGCAGACGGAGCGCAGTCATTGTCACAGAGAGACTGAACGAATGCGAACATTGTGAAGGCCATGCCAAGTCCTCCAACAAGTCTAGGCCTGGCAAGGGCCAAAGTACGAATTGGTGTTGACCAGCATCGTGCCAAAGCCAGCCTTACCTCCCGCACCGGACAGCAGACCGAGGACCTAGTTCCGGAAGACTCAAAGAACAGCGGATCACCACCCTGTGAGGTGGTTCTCATTCGTATCATCAGTTGTCCATTCGCCCGGCAAAAGGGTCACATAGAAGAAAGAGCAAGCCGACGAGGTTTATCTTATTGCGCTTGCCGGACTGAACTCCGCAAGGTGACTGATGCAGTACAGACAACGGAAAGCTCTCGCGTCATTGACTCCTCTATTTGTTCCATTTCGATGTCCGTCGTCTTATCAAATGGTTGTAGCAAAGACAATCCGTGGGAAGATACAGCTCTGCAACAGGTTGGTGCAGTCAGAAGGGCCAAGTGAATCCTGAGACGACATGCAGCTTGGAACTGACGCCGCTCGTTGGCCAAGGCGTCCTGCACGTCTTCGACAACGGTTGAGTGGTGGTTCATGAGTTTGGCCTAGCACACCTAGGTGCGCGCTTCCCAAAGATCTAGGTCTTCTATATTGTGACTCGTCACATTGAGGCACTTTCGATGCGGTGCTTCTCAAGTTGTTGACTTGACAGAATGCTACCCACGATGCAGAGAATCCTGGTAAACGTACAAGGGCTGTCACCCCTGCCCGCAACCCCCATCTCGTCGGGGAGGACAGCCTCTTGCATCCAGAGTCTGCAACGAGATGCCTCTCTGTGTGTGGAATGCCCCCCACTCCCACGCTACCTACAGTCTACAGACGCCCATCTGGATGACTGTTCACCCAATCGAAGT